CACTTATATAGCCACATTCTAGTTTCTTACTGATATTCCTCCTCCCCCCAAATTTCAGTTAGTTTTTTAATTGAATTGTACAGTTTATATGCTATATTACAGGTGCAAAAAATCTGAAGCGATTTATCTTGGTATGATTTTTTTTTTACATCTGAAAAACCTGGCATTTTCATAGGTACCAATAAAGAAGAATACAGTATTTGTAGCTCAGGGTTGAAATGAGGAGTCCTTAGTGCTCTCTGAGCTTGGTTGTTTTCTTGCAGGTATTTCATTACCCAAATTAGATAACGTCATCAGCACTGAATGATGTTAACTACCGATAGTAATGAATGTAACGAAACATTTGCAACAAAGCAACCAAACTCAGAAAGCATCAAGGACCCCTTCATTTTAATAGGGTGTGTAGACTTTTTATATCCACTGTTTGTCCAAATCCTATATACATACAAGGGAATCTCTTCCCTACAATTCAACTTTGTTATTAAGAAGGAATTCACTCCCTCCTTAATAACAAAAGTGTAGACTGAACAACCGGTACCAGATACTTAAGTGATTCTTAAGTTTTTGGTACTGGTTGTTCAGTCTAAACCAGGGCTTTTCAACCTTTTCACCCATTGTACCACTTTTAGGATATGGCAATATCCGAGTACCACCAGTTGCCTAGCAAGGTGTCAAAAACTTGATGACCCCCCCCCCCAAAAGGAAAAAAGTGATAAAGTACAGGCAGTCCTCGACTTACAACAGTTCGTTTAATGATTGTTCAAAGTTACAAGGGAACTGAAAAAAGTGCCCCCCAAGCCACAGCCAAGCAAGACACCTGCCTGCCTGCCTACCCAGCGGCACTCTTCCTCCTGTTCGAGGTTTTCATTGTTGTGAGCATTTCTGTTGGGGATTGGCAGCGGAGGTGGGGTGGGGGGGTGTTTGGTTTTTATTCTACCCATCTGCTGGGTGGTTGCAGCAGGTTTTGGTCACTTCACATGACCCTGGGACACTGTGATCATCATAAATATGAATCAGTTGCCAAGCATCCAAATGTAAATCACAAGACCCTGGAGATGCTGCAACATTCCAGCTGATCGGTGCTTCTGGTCTCAGCAGAAGTGCCAGGATCAGCGCTGAGCTTCAGCTGGAGCTTGGCGCTGATCCTGGTGCTTCCACTGAGCCCTGACAGCCCTGAAGAAGCGCCAATCAGCTGGAAAGCGGCACTGATCCTGGTGCTTCTGCTGAGCCCTGACAGCTCTGCAGCTCCAGCCGTCTCTCGCTCAGGCTTGTGCGGTGCTGCCACCGGTTCAGCTCACTCCCCTCCCCTGCTACCACTTTTCTAGGATGGTCGCGTATCACCTGCCAGGTGCCAATGTACCACAGGTGGTACCCGTACCACTGGTTGAAAAGCCCTGGTCTAAACTACCTTCTTGGACGTTACCTGACTCCCATAAAAATATTTTTTGTTGAAATCATTCTTTGTCACTGAGAGGCCAGCAATGGATTAAGACTTTGCCATGCTGACGAATCCTTGAGTTTCTCTGTGAGTTGATTTGGAAAAATATTCTTAAGAATTAAGGTTATTGAAAAAGCATATAGAGTTCTCGTTTATTTTAAAAGCTACTGACCACTTATGAGCTTTTCTCTGTATATGGCTTTATCAGCTGAAGGTAGTGATGCTTGTGTCCTAGATGTTCATATTTATCTAAAGTTTAAAATGATTATCATGACAAACAAGCTGGGTTGCAAAAAGAGCCAATTATTCTCCATATACATAATCTATAAGCTTTGAATTCCTGTATATCCAGGAAAGAAATTTTCCCAGACCCACAAGTAGCTCTGAAAGATACAATAAATGCACAGCAACTAGTTCAACCTGTTCTACCTGGCAGGGTTGACAGTCCAGACGCCCAATGCCACCTTTCCTGCTTGATCTGCTTCTAAATCTTTCAGTATACTTTCAACACATCTATCTTCAAAGGCAAAAAAAAAAAAAAAAAAAAAAAATCACCTCTGCATCGTTTAAACATCTGGCCAGAAGTGCTATAGAGCAGATATTTACAGTACTCTTGCCAATCCTCAAATCCATCAGAAAACTGCATCAACATGAACTTCGTTATCTTCATTGTTAATCTCTATCCTACAACTATTGTCTCTATCCTTAGTCATTGCAAGTTATGTTGGAGGGAAGTCAGATTTCCCTCCAACATAATAGGTGACAAAGCCTTAATAGATTTTACACATTTTGAGGCTGTCCTTAGTATAAAAGGAAAATGCTACCTTTCATCAAATATCTATAGGTAGAGGAAAGAGGTTTTTTTAAGATGACATTCAAATTATATAGACCAGGGTTTCTCGGCAGCTTTAAGATATGTGGACTTCAACTCCCAGAATTCCTCACAATTCAAAGCTGTCAAGAGTGAGAAACACTGGTATATATAAAGAATACACTCACATCAATAATATCTGATTATAATAAAATGAATTAAGGACTCTCTCACAATAAATTTGGGTCATTTAAAACCATCCACCTACGTTTCTAAAAATATCTGCTCTATAAGCAATAAAATTATGTTTAGTTTGACACTTAATTTAAACAATGAAGACACTTTTCTTACACTGCATGCCTAATATGGGATAAGTTAAAACTAATTTGGGGTGAATAATATACAAAGGCATAATTAAGCTTCATTGAGCTCCATTTCATTTTTTTGCACAAATAAAATGTTTGGAACAAGTGACAAACTTCAACATCCTATATATGTGACAATTCTGATTGCACCATAGCATTTGAAATGGGAAGAATCTACTTTCTATTTGGCTGCCTCATGGCACAATTTGTGTAGAATGTTTTCATACATATAGAGATGGGTTCAGTTGCTATTCTTCACCCTTAGTGTGCTTGGATATCTTGGCAATAACACAGGCATTTTTTTTTACTATAGTTCTACTTTATAATGTATCTGTAACAATGAGTTTATTAGTAGCTTGGCAGTGATAGAATGTGAACTTACAGATGAACCTCCCACACTTCCTAGGGCATGCTAGATGATCACTTTTTGGAAAATCCTACTATTCTAGAGATTAGAATACTAATCTCAAGAAGTTAATAACTAAATTAATAACTAAAATATATTATATATTTAGTTTTTCAGAAAGTTCTCATGCAAAAGTATTTTATATAAATAACATAATTTTATTTTTATATAAAAATTCACAAATAGCACATAATGAGGTTCACAATATTCCTAGTAATTCAAAAAAGAGGTTAAGCCTAACAAGTAAGCCTCTCAGAACACAGCAGAACTGGTTCCTGAGCAAACATTAACCTGATTAGTATGTACTCTAAATAGCTTCTTTCAATGTCATGTATGTTTCCTAAGACGTCCTTTAAATAGTTTTACTCTTCAAAAACATTTTTAATCCAACTGCACTTCTTAGAATACAAGAAATAAGATATTGAAAAAATATGACAATGTTAAAATAAAAATGATTGCAATATTTTCATTTCACCTCAATATGTTTAAAAAGTTTGTTTCAAGTCATTCTCATTATTTTTAAGTATGCTTTCATTCTGAATATTGCTAGGATATGGGAAAAGTGTGTGCTCTGTATTGATTACTTTAAACAAGAGAGAGAGAAAATGGATTTCATTCATCTTATTCTTTTTCACCACACCCTCAATTTTTGCCAAATAGTCATGATTAATGTTAGTTACTCCAAAGAAGGAACTTCTTTATTTTTAATAACAGAATATAGGCCAAATTGACAGTAGTACAAATACTATTGCTAATCTTGAATATAAAACTTCTTTGCTCCATTATATCCTAGTAATTAAGAGTTAAAAGTCTTGCTGTCTATAGTACACACATATATTTATACACTGGCATATTAACTCTTATTCCTCAGTTATCCATATGAATATACACAGTGTTCTTTGGTTAGCTATACAAATGCATTCACCTATTTAATATCATTATCCAAGTTATACTACTACTATGAAAAGCATGGTTTCTATAGAAACATAGATAAGTATTTAAAGTACATGCATTTGTGCATGGATATAATTTATACATGGGTAATTTCATAAAGAAATCATTTTTACAGATTTTAAGAATAAAAGCAATACATGCAAGTTACAAGAACACTGCAAAAAACACATTAAGTGATAGATATCCAGAAGCTTTAAAACAAGCAAACGTAAGAAAAGCCTTGCTATTTAACAAGGAATTGTTACAAATAAGCTAGAGTTCTACCTTTATTTTTCTTTTAAAGCCCTGGCCACTTTAACTGTTTGTATCCCCAAGTCATTTTGATTGGCAAGGCAACACACAAAGCTTGTACTGTATTTATTTTGCCTTTCACCTTCTGCAAGCTACCCAGCTAGAGAATTAACACAAAACGAAGTCATTAGCAAAAAGTGTGCACGTGCAAGCCGAAGCCCTTTGGACCAAAAGCAGCCGGAGGCTCCGAGGACTAACAGCAGGAGTACCGGGATGCCTTTGGCTCCTAGCTTGACAGATGCAGCGGAAGGGGCCGACTGGTTGCGCTTAATGGCGACTCCCAATGGCCTGGCGCTCTCGCACTCCCGAGTCCCGGGAACAAGTCCCGCCCCAGACTCTTTACAGTGGGCTCGCAAAGCACCGCCGCAGCTGGTAAGGCTCTCTGCCCTTGCCCAGGGCTCCGAACGCTTCCCCAAATCCTCTCTCAGCCCGCCGGCCACCCCTCCCTCTCTGATGCGTCTTGCCTGAACCCGCAACCTCAACCAGCGTGCCCGCCGCAGCGCTTCAGAGCCCAACCCGCCTTCTCCCCGATGTTTCCACCGCACTTCCCACAAACGCAACGAGCAAAGCGCCCGCCTATCTCCTCCTCCCCGTCCCCCCTCCCATGCAAAGGGGTTCAAGGCAGCATTCCCCGATAACTCCCGACCTCGGTCGTCTGCCCGACTCCTGGTCGTCCTGGCGCAGCCATTGGGCAGATTTTGGCGATAGGCCTGGAGCAAAAGCACCTGCGCCTACCTGTTGCGCCGCTTGTCAGCACCTTCCTCTTCCGAGAGAGCTGGTGGACTGCCTCCTTCCTCTGGCTTGCACTTGCACTTCCTCCTCCTCCTCCTCCTCCTCCTCCTCCTGGGGCTGTGCTGCTGCGGCTGTTACCACCGTTGCGTCAAAACCGGAACATGGCGTCACGGCCGGCTGCTATATACATAAGCGGGAACAAGCGGGAGTAGATTTTCCTGCCCGCCAGGGCTCGGCACCCGCGCGCAGTTTCGGAGAGCCAGCAGATCACCAGTGGAATGCCTTTTCCCGAATTTTCTTGAATCGATTGCTGAAAGGATAATATGCCTTGCAATGCAGTCGGCTGGTTTTTTTTTTGTTGTTGTTATCGGTTTAGTTTGCCATAAGTGGGCAAAAATGGCCGAAAGCGCACGTTCTCTGTGTGCGCCAAAACAGCGTGAGGTACCACTGTTCTCCTTTCTGTGGGTGGCAAACGGAGGTTTAGCCCCTCTGCTGGCCAATCACGATTATGTAGCGAAACTCTCCCGTCGTTCAGCTCAGCTGGAAGCCCAGTAGAGACTGACCCGTTTAATCTTTCGAGCACTGGCTCGAAAGAAATGAAGAGGCGATGGTGTTTTTTTGTTCCCTGCTATACTTTCCCAACACTGAGTTGTTAGTGCCCGTGGATTTTGCTTCGCAACCTCGAGTGCTCCTTAATTGCCACGGAAGAACTGAAGAAAATTTATCCCTCTGCACTATAGCAGTGATGGCGAACCTTTTAGAGACTGAGTGCCCAAACTGCAACCCAAAATCTATTTATGTATTGTTGGGTGCCAGGTGGGCGTGGCCCATTGGGTGGGTGTGGCTGCGGTGATAATGGCAGACTGGGTGAGACTAAAAGGTTCAATCAATTCCAACTTTGCGAGATTTCCCCCCCCCCCCCAAGAAGTTGAAATTGATTGATTTAACCCTTTTTTTAAAATGCACATGGCGCAGGCCTAAAGCGAAAAGGTTTTATAAAACCCAGCTGAAGGCCTAGGACTGGGGCGACAGTGCGCCCACAGAGAGGGCTCTGCATGCCACCTGTGGCACACATGCCATAGGTTCGCCACCACGGCACTATAGTCTCCCTGCCTATCATTGCCAACTTGACATTTAAATTTAGTGGGGAAAATGTTTCCAACAAAGCTTTTCCTTTCCTTGGGATTGCTTTTGGATTTCCAAGATTAAATTTCAGAAATTTGGAGGAGAGAGGCAAAAATATGTTTAGCTCTCTAGAGTGTAGAAAACAGTAAGTTTAAAAAGTAGAATTGCTGCAATGATGAAAACATTGTTAAGGGGAAAGCTGTGTTAATCTACAACTTATCTTATGCCATTGAATAAAGTTGTTAGAAAAGATGCTAGATTCCCTTTTTCCCCCAATGGTCCAAATGTCAGAAGGAAGAGCAAGTTCAGCATGCAAAATTTGAGCATTATTTAACAGAGTTGCATCCTTGTCTGATTTATCATGATCAAATAAACAGACTGTTTGATCAGTTAAGTGCCACACATCCTACAGCACAGCCATTTGTCAACAAGCCCCTCCCTCATACAAGTATGTGTTAAATAGCAACAAAAATAGTCAAAAAACAAAGCCAAAATGAAGAGCAATAATCTCATAACCACTTCTTTCAAAACACTGAATGCCTCTATTTGACAAGGCCTCTAGACCTAATGACTGCACATACCTTAAGATATTAGCTAAGGCAAGCAAAACCTGAGCAAGAATGCAGTACTGATACAGTGACTTGAAAATCAACAGATTCTGCATTACAATCTGAAGAATGTTTAAGAGGAAACTGGAGGAAGGGCTGCAAAGATACCAAGTCTGATAAGATTATCATACAACATCCAAGGTATTTGCAGAACTCACTAGTTAACCCACCTTAGCCTACTGTAGCCTACTGTAATAGGCTACATTGTGTGAATGCAGTTTATATAGTTAATGTTCCAAATTCTGCAAATGCAGAAAACTGATTAGCTGAATATCCTTAACATGTCATGTGAACACAAGCATTCATTATTTAGTGATTGAGCTATACTCTCATAAGGTGAAGTCATCTTTGAGTCAAGTTCAATTCCTGATGATTTCAAAGCCTTATTCAAGGCAAATAGAAGAACTACTGCTTCTGGATTATTATTTTTTACTTCTCAATGTAGTCAATAGCCCTGAATTCTGTTTCCTATCCCAGTAGTACCATACTGCTTTCAAAACATTTTTTTTTTACTGAAAACAGTTGAAATCAAAAGCCAATCTCACAACAGTCAATATTTTCTGAAATTAACATGACAGCATTACTTTATTTGATGCCATGCTTCAAATTAGCAGCATGTTATTTATGATATAAATAATGCTTAATTTTATTTCTGAATAGAAATGTTATAGTACGTATTGCCATCTTGGTCAGTAAGAATTTGTTTTTATCCAATTAAATATCATTACAATTCTTTTTATGTAATACATAAACATGAATAAAATTGGATTTCTCAGTGTGGTTCCTGACAATACTATATTACAGTTGAAGGTTTATTATAATGGATGTTTTACAGCCTAAAAGTATATGACATTGTTGAGTAACATAAGTTGGAAAATATGACAGCATTTTTGTTTCAAATCGCTAAATACTAGTATTGAATTGCAGTTACTACAATAGTTAACTATTCTTCTTGGGATCTTTATCTTTACCAATGGATAGGGACAATACATCAACATTATCACTTTATTTTTACTGCTGCTAAATCAACATTGCCAGTATACGGTATTAAACACAGGTACAATAGAAAATGAATTAGATAATAATACAATCAATGCTTTTATTAAAGATATGTTATACTACTTTGATTTCCTGTTACTCAGCATGCCCTACAAGTCCCCAGTCAATTTATTTATCTTTTTATTTGCCTTATCAAATACAAAGAGAACTTCTGGAATGGACAGGAACAACCCTTGGCCACTACCTTTAATTCTGTAGCCCTTTGGCAATAAATTAAGGGATTATTTTTGAAATGTGCTGGTTTATACATGAAAAAACTCTTTAGCTGCCTCCCATTGCAAAAAAAAAAAAAAAGTTAAAACTTTGGGGACCAATCCCTTTTAAAGATGTCACCAAAGTGTTTCTTGTGGCCTTCATATTTTCCCCAATTATCAAAAGGTTAGCTGCTCGTTTAGGATGTTTTATATCTGTAGAGATTGCTGAACACAAAAAAAATAAGCATGAATACCTTTCATCTACATGCTTTTTTAAGAGTCACTGTTAAAGATAAAACCTAAAATTCTTCGAACGATGGTCTTTCTAGGTAATAGCCACCTAGCTTTTATTCAGCTCTTCATTCACTTCTTTCTGAATTTCCTTTTCAATTTTTGATGTATCATACTCTATCATCATATCAAATTGTCTCCAAGGCATTTCCCATTTTTTAATTCTTTCTTTGTCTTTTTCTGTAAGATATTCGTCAAAGTTGATACCCTGGATATTGTATTTTGGATGTTCCCAGCGTTTTGACCACGGTTTAGGCTTCATTTTGACCTTCATCTAATATAATTCAAAGTAAAATGTGTTAGTTTGTGAATATTGTATTTCAGCAAAATATTTCCAAAAATTGTATTTTGTACAGACATCCCTCATTCATACATAGTAATTTCTTAGCAATGCTGAGAAATCAGATATGTCCCAATGATTCTTAGAATGGGCGAACTTGTGCCAATCACTATCTGTTGATTGAAACTCTCAGGGATTATTATACTTCTTAGATGAAATAACAACAACAGCAACAATAATAGGTGGGCTGTAGTTCATACAGGAACCTTATTGGTCAAATACAATGCTGTGCTGGAACCTAAAATCATTTGGAAATCTTTGGAACCTGGCAGTTTGTAGAAAGCTCTTCATGCTCATAATAAGAAATTGTTTTCCCTTGTTAACTCAAAAGCAATTATTCTTATAGGGGAGAATGCTGACAATAATAAAAACAGGGTAGTTACCCTACATAATAGTCCTTGACTTAACATTGGTTGCTTAGCAACTGTTCAAAGTTATGATGGATCTCTCTGGGGATACTTACAACCAGTTCTGAAGTTCTGACGGCTAGACACGTGTCTTCATGTTGGGTGCTTGGCAACTGGCCCGCATTTATGGTCATTTGTAGCATCCCACAGTCTTGTGACCTCACTTTACAACAGTTTTGCCAAAAACTAGCGTTTACTTCTAATTATCGGCAAAACTGGCCCATAGGGAACCATTGGTTCGCTTGTCAACTGCAGCTTTGCTGGAAGATCTTCACAAAAAAAAAGTCATAAAAAAACATGGGTGACTTGATTTATGACCATCATGACTGTGAGGGGCAGGTTCCATTACAGTCATAAATCAAGGACTACCTGTAATCTGACTCGAAACCTCTACTGGAGAACATTTTCCAAGCAAGCAGAATTCTGTGCAACAGCTTTACAATGCAAAATTATTTTCAAGCACAACGAATTGTTAGCTGCATGCACCAGTTACCCATTTATATTACCTTATTGACAGGAACATCATCATAAAGTATGTAAGACACTGGCTTCATGTTTATATCAACAGTGCTGAATTCTGGCAGAGCATCTCGTAAATACATCAAGTTATCATCTGGCCTCTTCTCCAACTTCAAAACCTTGATCTCATGGATTAGGGGATTATATAATTCATAGCAGATTTCAACACCTTAAAATGAACATTATTTCTTTAATCGATATAGCAAATGCTTACCACACTTAGCTAACAAATAATGCTCCAAGTTTTAAAACTATGAAACCTGAGTCTTTCTTGTGTGATACGGTCAATTCTTTGTAATTTTTAACCTTTGAAGCTGATACTGTTCTCTTTTCTGAATGTCCTGACTACATCCTTAAAAGGCATAACAAATTCTGTGTACTCACCTTGTCCATTTATTACATTTCGAAGTATGAATGTTGCACCAAGTCCCTTTCCTGATCGCTGAATACAAATTCCTACAAAAATGTTGCATTTTCCATTGGAATAGGGATCCATTGCAGAAACAGCAAGTATACTTCCTGGCAGAAAAGAAAATAATTCAACGTTCAGAGAAACTACGTCAGACCCATGGATTAATATAGAGTAAATATAACACCTTAAAATAAAAGTAAAAGTAAACAATTTTGTGATATAATTTTGTTGCATGTTGGAACAAAACATTTGGAAATCACATGGACAGCATGGACAAATACTGCATATGTGACTAGGGTTTTTGCACATGAACTAATGAGAAACTTTGATACTTTCAGAATTAAATGAGAACCCAGGCTCACCAGTCAAGCAGCTGATCAAGTTTAGTTTTTAAAAAGAGACTGGACAGCCATTTGTCCGAAATAGTGTAGGGTTTCCTGCCTGAGCAGGGGGTTGGACTCGATGACCTCCAAGGTCCCTTCCAACATCATCATCATCATCATCATCATTATTATTACTATTATATGTTTAGACAAATCCCATGCCCACTCTAAAGTGCTCAAGATGTCTCAGATCTAGAAGGGCCCGAGTTACATCTAACGTTTGGGATTTGCCACTGTGGTTATAAGAAATATACACCATAACTAAGCCTTCATGTATAAACATTTCTCCTTACCTAAAATATTGTATCCTACAAGAGAAGTTCATTAGGTTAGCTATTTCTGCTAGTATACTATTTATAAGT